TGATGCATTTTGGCAAAAGAGTGGCCAGGATATTATTTATTAATAAATATTAAAATCATGGAAGAAAGTAAGTCATACAGAATTACATGAAAGTGAATAAATGATGACAGAATTTGCATTTTAGGTGAACTATTCTTGATAGAAGCAATGGTATATGGTCTGCAGGACAGAAAGCTGGAAGCCGTCATGAAGAACGGCGTTCATGTGACAGCATATTAGACCGGGAAGGTAAATTGATATGTAAATTGAGTGTGCGACTCAGAGAATGAGGAAATATGAACTTGAAATGTGCTAGACCTTCACATAGAACGGGAACATCTTTTTTCTCCCGTCAGCAAAGTACAATAGCATACCCTGGTGTAGCGAACATCTCGTGTCTGTCTCCTGTGTGGCAGAATGTTCCGGAGAAAGAGAGCAAGAGTGCATTAGGCAGCACAAAGTGATTTGTCCTCATGGTGTCCAGGCTGTACTGAAAGAGCAAAGGTCTTGCTGAACAAAAGCAAGCAGTGTTCACTCATTTATTGGAGGAACACTGGAAGATTGGAGTCGTTCATCAGGATGATGCTCACTGCTTTGTTCTTCAAGGAGAGACATTTTGTCAATATAAGATGCTCTTTTTCTCATTAGATTTCTGAGAGGCCTGTCAGCCATACAGACATACAGTGAGAACAGCTTCATAAGATTTGTGGTCCTCAATATCCGCATACACACTTTATGTAATGGAAATGTATGCTCATTATTGACATGCGCACATTTTCATTTCAAAACAGAAACTGATTGTAGAAACAGTTGCATTGTACAATCTATAGCAAGAATCCTATTATTTTAACTTGACAAGTTTTCTCTTTGATATAGTATTATTTTGATGCCCAGATGAAGATATTATTATTTGATAATGAATAATAGCCATAATTGATCTTAGAGATCAAAATTCAAATGTGAAGAACTGGCTCCCTTTCAATTCATGAATTTGTATTGAATTTGTAAATTTAACACATCCATCTATCTATCTATCTATCTATCTATCTATCTATCTATCTATCTATCTATCTATCTATCTATCTATCTGTCTGTCTGTCTGTCTGTCTGTCTGTCTGTCTGTCTGTCTGTCTGTCTGTCTATACAGTATGTCTGTTTGTTCACTCATTTGTTATCTTGCTCGTCCTAACATTTGTTTTATCTATCTATCTTCTGTCCATCTACAACTTTCTGTTGTCTATTTTATGTTTGTTCTGTCTATCTGTTGCTTGTTCTGTTGTCCATTTTGTCGTTCTTTTGTTCATTCTATTTATCGAGCTATCGTTTGTTCTGTCTATTGAGCTATTGTTCTATCATAATATAGTTGTCATTATATTTATCGTTTAATTAGTTGTCTGTCTATCTGTCTATCTATCTATCTGTCTATGCATAAAATTGTAACGCTTTTAACTATTTTCAAGTCACAAGACTCAAACATGACTAACAATGCCATCCAACACACTAACAAACCTTCAGAAAGTGATACGTTAGAATGCTGCAAATGTAATTGTTGTGCTTTTAAGCATCTCTATAAAAGGATGATTACATTAGATTCAGCCCTAACAAAACATTAGAAAAACTAATGCAAAATCTTTGTCACAATAAGCACACACACAGCATTTTGGTGTGCGCTTGTGTCACTTTCCTGACAGCATAGCTGAGTGCTGTCATAAACAGCTGTTAAATTCGCTGATATTTTCCCATTTGTCAGATTGCATTCAAGAAAAACAATAAAGTTGAGATTTTAATGAATGACTTGTTTTCTAGTTTTGATGACCTTCAGCCGTTCATCTTGTTATATGTCACCTTTTTCTTCATTCTCCTTGACATCAATGACGAGATGAGTCAAGGTTTCCACACACATACACACACACGCACAGGGGGATCCATCCGTCCAGCCAATTAGTGGCGTTTACATGATGACGAGCTTGTGTTTGATTCAGCCAAATAAAATCAGCATCAAACTGAAGTGATGGAGCATGATGAACACTGGCAATCGGTTACACTATGTAGTGTACACACACATGTGTGCGAGTGAGGTGCGCTTGCCAAAGACAGAATCATTCTCACTTTTCTCTGCCACGCAATCACAGCTCCAGCCTGCCAACTCGCCATGGCTGGGCTCCTGTGACCCTGGCATGGGCAGCCCCTCTCCTCATCATTACTGCCAAATTAAAAGCCATAGCCTCCAGCTCATCTGTCTCCCTGCTGCCGACTCTTATCACGAGCTCGGCCGCTCCCAAGCAGTTACGGATGCCTTGGAACTCACCCCAAACCAATTATAATCAAAAGATGATTTTAAAATGTACTAGTCTTTGATTGTAATGAGAGAGTTCTACATTTTCTTCTCAGATTAGCTGTCATGAGTGATTCTTACTTTGAGACAAATTACCGAGGGGAGTTTAGGCACAGGAACAGGGGAGAGAAGAACCTGAAGAAGGGAAATGTAATTCCCTCATAGCTTCTCTCATTAAAGCGTAATGCTGTTTGCAAGGGAGCATGAAAGATTAGGCAGTTACATGTGGGAAGCTGCAGAGGCTGATTCGGTTCAAGAAGATCTTCACTCAAGCATCCTCATGACCTGCTCTTAGGTAAAGAAATGGGTTTCAAGGCACACTCAAAGGCAGGTCAGTTCATTCAGCATCCATCTTGGTAACATCTCAAAATCAATTCCAGTCATGCTAATATTGCTCATATATTGAATAGAGAAAGATTTTTGTTGTCTCTGACACATGACACCAGGGCTGAACATTTACGAATTTTGTTTTTGTTTTTGTTTTACTCCTTCAACGCTCAGCACTCCAACCCTTCTTCCCATGAGAAGATCCTATATTTCTATTCTCAGTACACAAGTGGACTAATATTGAATAGTGAGATTAATAATACATCAAATGGTTTGACAAGTGCGGTGTTCTTTCTTACATTAATTGGAAGTCAATAACATTTTATTAGATTTATCTAGATCTTTTCGCTGAAATGAAAGTGAATGGTTAACCTTAGATATAATGGATGAATATCTTGTATATAATTACTTAAGTGAGAGTTTTACTCACATCAGGAAGGGCTGTGAGAACTACGCCTTCATACATCGTACTGTCAATGTCTTCTGTTCCTCCTGGTGACACTTTCACATCAACCGCACATTCTTTTCCCTGACATCACAAGCAGTTATGGTACAAAAATGAGAACATTTTCTATCCATATGCAAAATGCTTCAACAAATGAATTATTTTTGCACATATACTATATAAACACTTACCAGGTTTTTCACTGCTGTGAAATGCACTTTAACCCCAGGCACCAGGTGAGCTCGGTTTCCAAAAAAAGCATCAAATATAAAAGAAAATTTCTTCAAATCCTCCCGTTCAATGAAACCACAATTATTCTGAGGGGAAATCAAAAACAGTGCTATGAAATTTTTGATATTCACTTTTTTTTTTAGATTTTCAAGCAAGGCAACGCATTTAAAAACAAACTGTAGCACAACAACACTTTTAAATAGTAAGTCTTAAAGGGGACCTATTATGCCCCTTTTTACAATATGTAATACAACTCTGAGGTGTCTCTAGAATGTATGTGAAGTTTCAGCTCAAAATACCTAACAGATCATTTATTGTTCCATGCTAAAAATGACCATAATGAGGCAAAAACGTGCTTTTTTTGTGCTTGTATCTTTAAATGCCCCTTTTCCAGAAGAGGACTGTGCCTTTACAGCTTGTGCCTCACCTACTCTGCCAAAAGAAAACATCTGTTAATCTGGTCTTGATTATCATGTCTATCATGGTCACGATCACGTGACACTGCAGGATATCATGCAAGTTTATTAAAGTTTTGATATATGGTTTTCTGAGCTCACACATCCGAAGCACATGCACAGAAAGCTGGCTGGCAGACAGCGCGTCACATGAGTAATAAACTATGTTTTCTTTCACATCTTATTGTGCATAAACTGTCAAAACCACACAAAGTTCACAAACACAGTCAGATATATCTTTGAACGTAAATAGCTGGGAAAGAAATCGCATGTGTAGCCTATACAAGATCTGTGTGACAGTAATATACGTACTGCTATGATTTTTGGGGATTAAAAAAAAGCAGTGGGTGGATTTTTATCATTATAGGGTGGTTGTGTAAGCACACTGCCAACACACATTTATGTTCAAACACCATGGAAAAGTGAATTTTGCACAATAGGTCCCCTTTAAGTCAGAAAATAATAAGTTAAAATTAACATAGTTTCAGCCCCGGCTTCCAATTCGTAAGCAATATCAAAACGCATACTCATATTCTTAGGTAAATTACACATTGTTGCTTTGATTATGGCTATTAACATCATACACAATGATATTCAAACTAAAACTGAATCATCCTTAGTCAGGGTAGTGCCACATTTACTTTTTGACAGGAATGAAAACAAGGCTGTGATGGATAGAAATACAGTGCATTCAATAGACTAATTGATTTTTACAACAAACCAACTGTTCAGCTGACGAAATGTCTTTCCCAAAAAAAAAAAAAAAAACTTTTTCCTTTATACAGTTCACCCCATTGTAAAGACACTAACACCATGTCTACAACGGATGCGACAGTTATCGCCTCGCGTTGTGCCGTAACAGCTAGGGGCTGTCTACACTGGACACGACAAGCGACCATTGCAAATCATTTGAACTTTGTGTCAGCACGTCATAACAGTGTTAATTTCATCAACAAAGACCACGACAAAAAATATTCGTTAACAAACATTTTCTTCTGTGACTAAGACGAGACGTTGACGAGCTAAAACCAATATCTGATGATAAAAACTATGACAAAATTTATGCCTCGTCTTCGTTAACGAGACGGGATTATAATGTTATTTGAGGACTACTTGACATTAAAAATACATCCTATAGGCTACTGTCTAGTCCTTCAAAATGTGCGTCACTGTCATTGGATTGCAATCGGATAAGGGGCGTTTGCATATCTAGTCTCAGTATGGCAGCCGCAGTGGATGGATAGGCTACCAAAACGTGAACCAGCGATCTGAAAAAATGGCCTCAGCACCCGAAGGGGTAGGGATCAGGTGATCAGACGTCCTGATTTTACCAGGAGTCACAATTCGTTGTCAATTAATGGAATCGCGCTGATAGAAGCACTCACTCTCGCGCACGCTTCACTTCTTCAATTCTCATATACAGCACGCGATCAGTTCTCAAATACACACACAGCAGTCCAAATGTCTATCGTGTAGAGTATCTCATGTAAATACAGGCGGTTATGGATTAAGTAAATGTAAACAGGTGGGTGAAAACATACTCGGTTACTAACGTAACCTCGGTTCCCTGAGATACAGGAACGAGTACTGCGTCTTGCTAGACTCATATGGGAAAAAGCCTTTTTTTCTCCTGAACTGAAAGCCTTTTTTCATTCACGCAGTGAAA